AATCTGTTTACACCAAAATCCAATAGTCGAATCTCTACAAATAAAATCTCTTATCAATATAGTAACATAAACTCCCACACCTTCAATGTGCACAGCTTTGTTAAAAACACCACTACTATCAGTATTACTAAGGTTCTTTTATTCAATGTGAAAACACAGGTAAGAATACAATACTAATGTATGCAAATAGCATAAAGACCTAAAATCAGATTCTATACATGATAAATCAGAAATCTACACCTAGTATTTCTTACTGACTGGGTTGATAGGAATTCCATTAAATATCTTCATCGGACTTAATCCAGTATTTCTCTACTTCTACACTTTTCTTATTTTAAAAATCTTAGACATTTACCAGATTTTGCAATCACCAAAGAGAACGAGACTGCTTGACTAAAGGTTACTGATAATGAACTAAAATTTACACTGTAATTTACCTTAAAATCAACACCATGTAAGATAGCAACATCATGTAAGATACTAGGGAAATTTTAAAAAACTGCTGGTTTTTTTTTTAACCAAAATGCAAGTCATAGTACCCAATGTATTTTTATCACATGACTAGAAAATTAACATATACACATATATTTAAACAGTTTTAATAAATTAGGGCTCTTCTTTTGAAATTTCAAATATGTACACACCTATACACTCACCTGGATAACAAAAGAGAAACAGCTGACAAGTCCCAGGCTTTCCACTAAGATTATGAGGCCTCAATCATAGATAAAAAACTAGTCAACTAAGGAATACTGAGAGTGGGAGAAAGTCTTCCTGAGGGAAAAATGCCCCAATTGGCTATCCAATACCAAGTGGTCAGCCCTGAAATAATAGCTACATAAGTAACATTCATGGGCTAGCATGTTATATTTATGTATTTAGGAATACACACAAACACACAATTAAAAGAAAAAGAGCCCATTAATTTGAGCAAGGAAGAGAGGTACATGGAAGGTGCTGGAGGGAGGAAAAGGGGAAAAAAGACATAATTTTAAAAGTTAAAAAAAATTAAATTGCCTCTTTATGTGTATCAGGATCACCTGGATACCCGAACACAGATTGTTGCGTCTGACCCTCAAGAAAACTGTGAGGTCTCAGAACCAGCCTAAAACTGACAGAGTATAACCTCTGGTGACGGAGGCTGAGACTGAAAGTGAACTTTGATACTGCCCTCCACTCTTAGACTTCATCTTTATCTTGGTAACTACCAAAGACAGAAATCAACAACCTACTAGGCCAATATCAAAACCATTTCTTTTTCAGGCTTAAGAGAATCCCATTACGTATCTTAAGACAAACAGTCATGTCAGAAACTCGCTTTCCCCTAACACTAGATGGATGAAACCACTTTGAAGATGTTGAAGAAGTTGAAAAAACTTTACAAATTTAAAAACTTCATGTTCACCAGTAAAACCTGAGTCATCAATAATAAGCATCAATCAGCAATACTCAGAACATTTGGAATGTTACTATTACATTAAACAATATGATTGTGTTTGGAAACTGTCAAAGATGTATTAAAATTTTATCCAGGTCAAAGTTTCTCCTTACAAATGAACGAGCATGTAAGTTCATTTTAGAAATTTGAATATATGTAGCAGAAAGAAAATATTTTCACAAAATAATAATACGGTGGCACAATGAAAAGAGAACAGCAGACGGTACATAAAAGAAATTCATGATGGAGCACAGCCGCACACCACTCAGAATATCCCTGCGCCCCCAAGCTCAGCCATTCAGAGTTCACAACAGAAGGCAGAAAGGTGTGGAAAGATTGTTGGTTAGTAACTGCCCTTGAGAAGGAAGAAAATGAAGAGTGGGGGAAGTGGGGGAAAACAGCTCAGGAAAGAATATGGTCATAAAGCATGGAAATAATGTGGATGACCATCACACCTACACCTGGGGATCTGAATCAAACTGTGAGAATTATGAATTGCTTAATTATGAGACTATTTTGATGTTAACTGAAAAATTTCAAATGAAATATGTTTTTGGAAGACTGTTGGAAATCCAGATGCAGTTCACTCATATAAGGTGTTAACAGAACATGACAAGTCACTATTAATTACTTACAAGAGAAAAAAACATGAGGAGGTTAGTCAAATGCAGAAGGAGCTATAACAAACAAAAGTGGAGTCACACAACATGGAAATGGAAGCAGAAATTGGACTTCTCAATTTAGTCTTAAAACAAACTCAAAGAAGAAATGCTTGTGTTTTAAATGAAAAAATAAGGATGTTACTTTTTTTTAAAAATTTGTAATTCAATAAAGAAGTAACAACTTGAAATTTGTCTTAGAAAACAACAAAAATGAAAAAAACCTAAGAAATGAAGTAAGAAACAAGCAATGAGACAAGAAAATTTAGAGAATTTAATAAGAAATCACACTGCTTCAGTCATCAGACTGAACTCAAAGTTCAAAATCTGGGACATAAAATCTTTTAAATGGATTAAGTATTAATGAAGTAAAACTGGAAAAACATAAAAGATGTTACCTGGGAAAACTGGACATTAGAAACTCATCAAATGAACTGAGAAAGACCAAAGATACCTGAAAGAGATCAATACCCAGTGACTCATACGAGGAAGCACAACACATCTTGACTAAAAGCACCGAGCAGATGGCATGCCCGAGGGCTCTTGTACTGTAATTCCTGCAGGTACTTGGGACCCAACAGATGTTTCCTTCCACAGGAAAATTTGATGACTACGACTTAGGGCCGACCAACAATCTCAAGAGTCTTCCAGAATGTAAGAGAAAAACGGTCCTTCCGTCATAAGTCAGCAGGAATGCCCCAATTTTAAATCTGCAATAAGAACTTTAAAAAACAAGTCAGGAATAGTCAAATAAAACAGAAAGAGAGTAAATGAGCATCTCGATCTGGAAAGATTGGAAAGTACAAACTCATCATATAGTAGCAAAGTCTGAGGGTAAAAATGTGGCCAGTGAGAAGCACTCTGAGGAAATGAAGAGCAGGCACACTCCTGACTTTGTTCCTAAGTGTTCCGCTGTTGCAAAACTTTACATACAGTTTGGAACTCAAAACTCTAACATAAGTGTCCAGACAGCTACTAGCTCAGAGGCAGTCATGCTAGTTTTTCTTTGGATTTCGGGTTTCTGATATAATTCTTGTTTTTACTTTGGTAAAATACAGAACAGTTAACTTACTTGTTTTAAGTTAAACATACAATAATGTATTGATAAAGATAACAAACTATACATTTTTAAAGTTCCCAGAGTTCTCATTTTTAAGAGATAGTCTTTTCTTGATTTAATAAATGTAACTAATCTAATAAGTTTTAACTTTCTTTTAAAAGCTGTATCTTCAATATATTTAGGAAAAAATGCCTATGATTAGAGGAAAACTTAGAAAGCTTTGGATTAGCCTCTAGGTGATTTCAAGTTCAGCTGTAATTCATAGTACTTTGGAACACTCCTGTAACGAATTCAAAGACCCAGAGAGGAATTCTCTTTATGACACTTGATAACCCTGTAAACCCAAATGTTCGACTTCTGCCTTGACTTAAGCTCTCAGCAGTTTCTTAAATGAGACTATAATATTGTTACAATACTTACCACGCTCATGTCTATTTTTGTAAAACATGGTCATTGTATTCTTTAGGATTTCATTAGTACTAAAATTGTTTCATTAAGCAAATATTTGAGCTTTCAGTTCCTGTGTCTCCCAAAGTTGCCTCCAATTCACTGCAGGCTAAAATGCAGTGATATCAACTGCGATTAAATATTAACTGCTATGAAGAACGAGTAATAGTTTTTCCATCCAGAATTTCATGTGAAATTTCCATACAGGCCCATGTCTGTAGCTGTTAAGACTCAAGTTTTACTAAGTACCTATTTTTGGATATCTAAAGCTAACTGCAACAATAACAAGTTCAGAAAACAGCTAAATTAGCTTAACTCAAATGAGATAGATGTCTAGTCTGGCTATCATTTTTTTCACCCAGAATAAATTGTAAAAAATATTTATTTCAACAAAATAAAAAAGTAGATAAAAATAGTTTTCATGTACATATAGTGTTATTAAAATATCCATTTCATTTAGTGAAAGGTGAAAAAATGTTAATCATCTCAGTTGTAGAACTAGATTTAACTTTACAAATCATAAATTTTTAAAAAGTAAAAACATAAAACAAAAGGTTAATGCTAAATAGACACATTCTTCAGAAAAAAATTTAAAAAGCAAAGTTATATTTTTATACAACTTTTTAATATAATTTTTTATTTTATATAGTTTTATATTCCTATTTTTACCTTTTGGCAGAAACTAAAGTTTTTTATTACTATTTTTTTAATGCAATCGAGACTCACAGTTGAAAAAGAAGTTTAAGCACCGAAATTATGAATTCTCCTATGTTAAATGGCAGATGAGGCAACACAAGTGACTAGTTTTACCACCACACTTTTCAACTCTAATAAGAACTTGATGCTGTCAACACATCTCGAGGAGCTGAGAATCCATCTTTAATGCCCAAGGACCCCTCTTCCCCAGTCTGACTATCTTATCTGAGAAATGGAAACCAGTAATCACAAAGCACTAGAAAGACCGTAGAAAGACTAGACACAGGTAGTTTTCAACATCACTACCCATTTCAGCTTAGCATTGCCAGCTTTTACCTGGACAAGTCACGCCTCTGCCTCTGGAATCTACTTCTATATACTGACACTGCATGTTCATTTCTTTAAAATAAGCACATTAAGTGAACTGTTATACATCAATTTGAAAACTGTAGGCTCTTGACTATTCATGACCACACTTGATTTTCCCAAAAAGACACAATTCTTATGTTCTGACAGAGAAGTGTGTGAAGTATAATTGTGGGAACGTTTCAAGATTATCAACCAAGACAGGTTTCTGTTTGATGTTAACTTACAAAATTTCAATTTTTTAGATGTCTTAAAACAATACCAGTGTATTTTTATAGACATATAGTTCACTATATGAACATTTGAAAAGCCCCTCAAAAAGTCAAACCCTTTGTATTCTGAATATTTAATTTTATTCAAACAATATGTCAAATTCAAACTTATAGTGAGGTATATTTTCTTTTCAAACATTAGATACCTAGGAAAATATGAAACACCATGAAAAATTTCAAGTTAAATTCATAGGCTTGCTTTGTTTTTACTTTAATCTGTCATATAATACATTGTGCCTTGACTCCTCAGATACGTAATTTAATGAAAAAAGAACTGAATATGATCATTTTTAGCATAAGAGCAGTAAGAAAAAGGATGAAAGCATTTCTGTGAGTTGTTTTAAAAGCATGAAATCATTATTGTGCCTTTATGTAAGTACTGGAGATCACATACGATCACTAATGAGAAAAGTAACAGAAAAACTTAATAACAATCTTCTGGCAGTGTTTAAATAACTGAATGTGTTCTGTGAAAAAAAATCTATGCAGGAAAAATTTTGAATCAAAGTTTTGCTTTTGATAGTATGGGCTTCAACCCACAGAAAGCATAAACAATAAATTTTTTGGTCAAGTTCTTTTCAGTTTGAGAAACAAAAATTTTTAGAACTTAAATATGCACACCATTAATGAGTAATTTGAAAAATTATGCAGATAAAGATTAGATTACCCTGTCTAGCAATGTTCCAACAATTTCACACATTTCAAATATTAAGGCAATTTTTTCCAACTAACAGTACATTATAAAAATATATGTCACAGCAAAACAGTATGTACATAGTGACAAAAAATTTAGCTAGTTGTAGTCTTTAATACATTAATACAGTGTCACATATTACAAAGAACTCAGACCAGGTGCTGCCTGTATGTGCAAGTAAACACAGTTCTTAAAGCACGGGTTTTAAAACTGAGCGGAGTGAACGTCCTTCTCTAGTGAGTTCTCGAGTCACACACATGCACGGCAGTGGGACTGCTTCCTCCCGTTTCTCTATAACATTGTAACTGCAGTTCTTCAAGTGGTCAGCCATGCTTAGGATGTCAGCAAATTTCCATTCATTAACAGAACAAAATGCAGTACTGAATCGCCATACCTAAAAGAAAATTCTACTTTAGATTTAAATAGTCCAATAGACAGAAAATCAGAATGCCCTTTTGGCTCTGCTCTAGCTGTTGTACTTCTATTGATATAGAAACATAAAATATCAAGTTATAAACAGCTTAAAATTAAATTAAAAAGGAATAAATCCATTGCTATTCAGGTTTGTCAAAAGTGGCATTATCCACTTCCTCCTATAAACTTTTAAAATCATCTCTAGGTTACTCGTGATACCAAATGCAATTTGTTTAGTAATATTACATTGTCTAGGAAATAATGAACAGGAATATGTGTGCAGTGCATTTTCAGTGCATTTTTTTCCTAAATATTTTCATAGCTGCAGTTGGGTTAGTCTATACAACTTGGATGCCACAAAGACCGAAAGCCAGCTTCACACGGTAAGCAGTAAATGCTCTAGAAAGTAGCAGTACTGGGATGGGGGTGGCATTCCTAACAATTTCTCAAGAGGGTAACGGCTTCCAAAGTAGCCAGATGCCTTAAAACTCTGTGACAACACAATTTTTCAGCTAACAAGAGCAACTATCATTGCTGCCAGGCCTATAATCCCAGCTACCCAGGGGACGAGGCAGGAGGATAATAAACTTTAGTCCTACCTGAACTACCAAGTGAATTCTAGGCCAGCCTGGGTAATTCAGTGAAGGCCTCCATTACAGTAAAAAAGAAAAAAGGGGACTGGGAATCAGCTAAGTAAGAATATTTGCATAGCACACAGGAACCCCTAAATTCAACCCCTGGAACCACTATAAATAAATATATAAACAAATATTTGACAAGTTAGCGTTGTTTTCAAAGTGGGGGCAGTAATGTAATGTAATGTCATGTCATGTAAAAATGCAAGCTATCTAACACAATGCAGGTGTTTAAGTGTGAACACCAGGGAGACATATCCACAATCTTTAAGACAAGAAATAAACATCCGTATTCTAAGTCAAGGTGACTAGAATATGAAGTGACAGAAGGAGACTGAAGAGGCAAGGAAAGATTAGAAGACAGTTTGAAGGCTTCATAAAGGGGTTGGCCTCTATTCCTGAGGCAATGGATAAATATTAAATAAGTTTTAAGCACTACATCAACTACAATATAAAATATAATTAAAACACATAATTCTAACTTTTATATAGAGACTATATTGGAGAAGAACCCAAAGCTGTGGTAGTAATCCAGAAAGACTCAAAGGTAAAATGGTGAGGCAAATCTGAGAGGTTTGAAAAAGGACCAATCAACTAGAATTTGGGAATAAAGGGGATAGAAAAGAGTCAACCCTAACACCTAAAGCTTTGGTTTGGGCAGCTGAGTAAACAAAGATGCTACTTCCTGGGATTAAGTGGGTAGAGGGGCAGAGTAAGCTGGACATCCTAAGTCCAGGGGAAGCTATGGGATAATCAAGCAGACTTGCTCAGTAGATGTTTGCTTGTTGGTTTACAATTTAATCCTCAAGACTAGGTCACTGTAGAAATTTACACTACCAGAAAATATTTCATTTCATATATAAATACTAGTGACTAAGGACAAAAACAATTACAGTATCTTACTCCAAAGAACAGAGATGCCCTTGATCATTTAGAAAATAAAAATACACATATATAGCTAACTGAAAAACTCTATGTCACCAGAACACCCTTTCGGGAGGGAGGAGGGATTCAAAACAATTTATATGTTCATTCTTTGGTCAAAGTCTCAATAAAACAGAGAAGCAGACACAGACTTTTTAAAAGACTAGAGCAGTGAGTAAAGATAAAACCTAAGGGGCAAGAATAAATTAACAAAAGTCTGAATGCTATGCAGCCAAATACTGTTTGTTCGTTTTTATGTAAAAATTCATACTATGTGTTGTGGAACATTTTAACTATGCAAAGATGTGTTATATTTGTTTATGCTGCGGAATATTTTAATTGTGTAAGATGTGTGTAAATTTGTCTCTGCTGCATTTGTTTAACAATGTAAGATGTGTGGTTATTTAGTTAAAGATGGGCTGCATTTGTTTCATGTTGCCTGACCAGGGCACCTGAGTGCTCTAATAAAAAACTGAATGGCCAACAGCTAAGCAGAAGAGGTACAGGTTGGGCTGCTAGACAGAGAGAATAAGTAGAATAAGTAGGAGGAGATGAGAAGAAGAGAACAAACGAGGGATAAAGAGAGGGACATGCCAGGGTCAGTCAGTCACGCAGATGCCAGTCAGCCAGACACGAGAGAGAAGCAGTGAAGGTACGATGTACAGAAGGAAAGAGAAGGTAAAAAGCCATGAGGCAAAGGGTAGATAAAGAGAAACAGGTTAATTTGAGTTAAAAGAGCTAGCCAGAAATGAGCCTAAGCTATGCTGAGCATTCACAACTAATAAGAAATCCCCACGTCATGATTTGGGAGTCGGTTGATGGTACAATTATGGGTCTCTATCAGAGGTACTGTGATTGCCTTGGATAGAGCTTCTAATAGAAGAAACTAGGAAAAACAGAGTGTAAATAAAATTTAAGGCTACCTAAATTTCCATATCAATTTTCTAAATAATATTCATCCCCCTTTGCAGTAAACCCAGAGTCTCCATACACAGTAACAAACTCGTCATTCTTCTCACCCAGCATCACTCACCCATTCAGGCCATCACCTAAGCAGTTTGTTGGTCAATTACTAGGATAACTGTTGTAACAGCTATAGATAAGTATGTGTGTGTTGTGTGTACGTATTTCTCATCCTGAAAAAGACACTATTAAGAATAGAGACAATTGAAGGCCAAAGGAAATCCTCTCCTAGGTTCCTCAGCTGGGTGACAATGTTTCAGACAAAACTAGAAGAAGACAGGTAGTAACACAGACACAAAGTGGTTAGTGAGGAAGTGAAGGAAAATTTGTTATCTGAAGACACACAAGTATTAGAACAGACTTTAAAGCCAAGAAATCTATGATACACTAGTGACTGCGACTAAGAATTCTAATGACTTTAGTCCTCTATTATCACTTTTAAAATGTGCCATCATACTGACTTAGTACATTATAGGTTATGGTCACTTTTTCAAAAAGTTATTAGATGTATTAATAAGTGCCTATTTTATGTTAAAAGAGATTGATAAATTAAAATTAAACTAACCTTTTCCTTTATCTGCCATGATGAATTTCCTTCTGGATACTTCTTTTTCCCCCACTGCAATATTACCATTCCACGAGACTGGAGTAGACTGCCACACACATCTCTCATTAGCCTAGATACACATGCAAGCTGGCATAAACTGAAGCCGTCAAGAAAGCCTGCAATATGTTGCAGTACCTCAAATGGGAGACTGCTTAGATGGTCACTACGTAATCCCAACACACAGTTTCTAGATGGCTCTTCTAATACTGTAGATACACATGGCTGAACTCCAAATGATCTTAAATGGCGATCATGTATAATCTTTGCTCCTTGTGTTGATGGACAAAATCTACGCTGAGAATAGGTGCAACCATAGTAAGCCAAAGGACACCTCTGTTCCATCCACCCATTGAGTCCAGCATGAATGTCACCATGTACATTCTTAAAATGGGAAGAAAATTCTTTTCTTCTAAATAACTGTCCACATACAAAGGTAAACATTGAACGCTGCTTAGGCTGGTACCGAGCAACACATTCCAAAACTAAATCCAGCCCAAGTGTCTGAAAAGGGCTTGGATTTGAAAGCTGTGGATTGGCATGATCGCATGCTGAAGCTGAAGCTATTTCTCCAACCATTGTATCTGTAGCTAATATTGCAGATGGAAGTGAAAAAGTCTGTGTTCCAAAGTCAATGTGATAAACATCAACCATGCGGCTATCTGATATACCCCTCCCACCTGGAGAATCTCCCAGACAAAACAGTAATGCTGCTGTAATCAGATCTATTCCTTGGAGGTCCATGGGATCTTCTGCAACTTCTAAATCTGATGTATCGACTGCTTTGTCTTCCTTGGGTATATACCATGAATTAGAAAGAAACTTGAATGAAGGAGCATGACTGAAGGGCGATTCATCAAGATCCTTCAAGCTCCCTAAGTCTACCTTCTTCCAATACAAGTCCTCCTCACCATCTTCATCTGGCATGAGGATATGTTGAAATGTGCTATCCGGCAAAGCACTGAAAGGAATTATTTCCCTAAGTTGTGCTGCTACTAAAAGTGAACTGGAAGGTTCTGAAGTACCATCTGCTGCTGCACATTCTCCATTTTCTATATTTCTTTCTATGGAATCTGCAGGAAAACTGTGATCCTGGTCTTTGACCTGTGAACATGTATTTTCCAAAGGAAAGCCATTACAAAGAGTAGAAGTACCAATAGAACTTGTATGTAAGTCGCACAGCAAATCACTTGAACCATTTTGTTCAAACTGCGCATTCTGACTTGCGCCATTATGGTCAACTCCACCTACTGCTCCTATCTCATCCTCATGAAGGTGGTCCTGGTCTTTTAAGTTTCTGTCCTGGACGCTATCTCTGTTATTCTCATCTATGTCATTTGTGGTGGCATGAAGACTTGTATTTAGTATGCCAATGTCTCTTGTGGCAGAATTCAGGATATCTAAAGCAGCAGCCAAACTTCTGGTTGTTTCTACAGTAGCTTGATAAAGTGCACCATAAGATTCTTCATCAACAGATACCAACCCATTAGTACATGGCATTTCCTGAACACTTGACTTCACTGAAATTTGTTCTCTAGGTTCAGACATTTTATCAGTTGCTTTTGACATCATGGTGGCCACTTTGAGAGATTCCAAAAGCATTCTTTGATCTTGAAGAGCCAAGGCCATGTCTAATTGTGCCACTTCATCCACATCTCTGCTTAGATTTTCATATGATTTCCGGTCTGCGTAACTAACTGGCCATCGGTTCCATTCCATTGTACAGCACACCACACTTGCAGGACACATTTCTAGATGTTCAGCGACTTTATTTCGCGCCATGGTAAATGGACATCCGAAGTTACTATTTAAGCAAGGTACTCGTTCAAAGGGACACAAGAGTCGATGCTCATCAGCTTTACAAGAATGGAAAACTGCTCCACAAACCAAAGGACAACCAATCAAGTCACAGGAAATCCCAGGCTCTGGTCTGGTCATACACCGTCTACTGACACAGCTCACACAGTGTGAGTGCTGCTGCACCTCTTCTTCCATAATGGCCAGTCCAGTTCTAGTATTTCAAACAGAAAAAGGTAAACAAAGTCATTAGACAAAAAATGGCTGATCTTTCAAAACTGTATAATAAATCAAATCACCAATATAGTTTATGTTATTCTTAAGAATGAAACATGTAAAGTACATACAAATATTTAAGTGGTTAATTTGATATATAATTAATACATCCTAAAGGAGCTTAAACACTTTTAGTAACAATCTAGTATTTCAAAAGTCATAGTTTCACATTTACATACTAGGTAACAATATATATAATATGCATATTATGGCTTCCAAATATAATATTCAAAATTTAAATAAATTATAATAAAAGTGTTCCTTTAACTCCCAAATTTCAGAGAATACTATAGATTTTAGCTTTTAAATTTCAATTAACTTGATTTTGATATGCCTCATTGCAGACCCCTCATCATGTTGTTGAGAATACATGCATATATATATTACTTCTGATGGCCAGCTCTCATTCACTTTACTAAATATGAGTCTCTTGCTAGTCACTAGGTACCAGGCACCGTGTTCCCTCTAGCAATATATAGGGGAATTAGTATCTCCTCTTGAAGGAGTTACAAAACTTCATCACATTATGTGGGTCAAAACAATCGGAGGAAAATGCAAGCACAGCGAAGATAATTAGCATAGAAAGGAAGCAGGGTAAATTAGTAAGAAAGGGAAATTCATTTCTGAAGTAACAGCAAAAGAATTGACAAAATATGTTCAATCTTCCTAATATTAATGGATTATGGTGAAATGCAAGAAAGTCGTGAGAAATGAGGCCTAAACGGAACTGGGCCAATCATGAATGTAATATGCTAGTCTATGGATTTCAGTCTTTTAGTAAGTGAAAGTCATTTTAACTTTAAGGGAGGAGAAACTATCTATGAAATAACAAAGGATTATAGACACTCATCTTCTTTTTAATTTTCTATTTATCCTTTGTGTCTTTTACATTATGGCTCCACACCACATCTCTGAACCTCACCCATCTCCTTCCCCCGACATGGATAATAAAATTTAAGAGAAGAAATGCCCTCCCACCATGAGATGGGAAGATGGGAGGTTCTCATCATGGAAGCTGCAGTGTGACACAGTGAGTCACACAGCAAACCCCTCCTCCATCCATAGTTTTTTGTTTTTGTTTTTTTTTTTTTTCACGCAGGCACTCATTCAAAGAATAACTGGTCTGGTTCAAGGTCCCTGGTTTCTGAGACTCTTCCTGGACATTCCATTGCTGCCCTGTGTCATGGAGATCTTGTAGCCCTGGGTCCACAAGAGTAACTCACCCAACCACCCACACTGTTTTCCAGGACACAACAGATGGGGTGGATGTTGGGGTAGGTCAACACATAATCCTGGTCCTGGGCCTAGGAAACTGCAGGGTTGCTCAGTCCACCAACTCTCCCTTGTCCTCACCACCAGGGTGACCTCTCCTGCACTGCCCAGGCTAGTTCACCTCCTTGCAGCAAGAAGCAAGGGGTAGGGCCACTTCTCCCACTTTCACATCCTCAGGGTTGGTTCTCTCACACCTACACCACTGTGTTGTACGGGAGAGAAGTAGAGGTAGCTCTCCTGAGTGCTACAACTGATGATGAGAGCAGGGCCAGCTCTTCCACCAGCTTCAGGTGTTGATGGGGTGGGGATGGCACTCTCTCCTCCGCCCATGTCTGACCTGACAGAGGAGTAGGCCAGTTCTTCCATGCTCACTACTTCTCACCACATTAACAACAAGGGAATTGGCTCTATTGTGCTGCCCATGGGAGGTGCATGGCCTACTCTCCTGCACTCTCTCATCTTAAAACTGATTGTTTTTTTAACATTGCATCAAGCAAAGTTTATACCAAAAATAAGAGAAAGTGTAAACAAAATATGCTGACTTAACTGTAAGCTTATTCAATACATTTTTCCCTAAAATCTTTAACTGCTTCATTTGTTTCTATTAGCAGTGAAAAGTTAAATAATACTTGTCTTTTGCTATCATTCTTATTTCCAAGTCAAATTTTAAGAAAAACGAACCAAAACGTGTCGTTTCCTATGCACATATTCAGCAGCCCTCTCATCTGTCTTCACTATTACTACCCCACATTAAGACTACACTATAAAGGTCCTCATCGATCTAAAGGGCTCTTTTCTTCTTGCCTCCTCCAGCTCCCATCCCCTTGGCTGTACCTTTAGGATTACTAACTACTCCTCTTGGACTGTTCACCTTCCCTTCCCCATGTTATCACACTCAACCAAGTTCCCCCCATCTCTCTGGATGGTCTTTCCTTAAACACTAATTTTCTTCAGGATTTCATGTCATTTTTCATGACACTATTCCTCCTGGGTGTGCTAGGTTTTTCCAACTTTCATTTACCATCTATAGGCAGAAAACTCTTATTTACATGCTGCCTAAAAATGCTCCAAACTCCAGACCTCTACAGCTATTATATAGTTCTACCTGTACACTGCAGAGGCAATTCAACTTGGTGTTTTCCAAAATAAATTAAACTACAGTGTATAATTTCTAAATAAAAAGATTTGTAGCCTATTTTCTTCATTGGGTGCAGACGGCTGCTGACTCTCTAGCATGTATCTCCATAAATTCTAATTGATTTAGGTGGGTAACCACTCCACAAATTGTTACTTTTTTCTGGTTGAAGACTAACATTCCTCAACAGGAACAGCAAAAACCTAGCTGTTACTAACAGAGCTCCTCTTTACGAGTAGCAAAGTCCCAAGTTGATATTGTGATGGTCAACAATGCCAGAGAACAATGTACACATTCAACAACAAATCGGCTTTAAATTGTGCTTAAAAATAACGGCATGAGATGAATACTTCCAAAAATGTTGTTTTCTTACAAATTCTATAGGCAAGAGCTTATTCTAAATTTAAACTAGTTGTACTCAAAGAACAAGAGAAGAAATGAGAGATTAACTATGGCAAATATTTATAATTAAAGCAATGAAAATGTTTAATAAGAATTAAGACAAACCTAGCTGAGGAATTAGATTGTGAAAACAGCTGGAGCTTTCTTATTTTGCAATAACAAGACTGAGTTTATCTCACATGCTAGAGGTTAAGCTTGACTGTTGCTAAGAGAGAAACCTAAAACTACAAGCTGTTTCAACAGTGACCACCGCCTTTAGGACTTCAATGAGCACGTTATGCTGTTGCACACACCATCACATAATCACATCAGGCAGAGCACATCTTAAAGATAGTACCCAATTCAAAGGTGCAATTCTGACTAACCTGCAAAAACAGTAACAACTTGCAAAGGTAGAAAGAGAAGGTTCTCAAGTTTCAAAATAAGTAGCCTCTTCCACATTACCCTTTCTCAACAAAAATGTTTACAAAAAAAAGGCAGCCTCAGCAACACGTCTATAGTATTTTATTACTTTTTGAAGTAAACTTAGAAAAGGGGGTAATATTAATTGTATTACCTACTGTAATGCCAAGTCAGTTTCCTGCAACTCAGAGAAAAATAGTGTTCAGAAGCAGTAAGTGACCTTCCCAAAGTCATCTATCTAGTTAAGTCACAAGACGGGACTTAAATGTATATCTTATCAATTTTCATGTGGAATAGTGGACATGTTTACTTATTAAAAAGTTAAGAAAATAGCTCTTTAAAAAAAAAGAAAATAGCTCTTTAACAATTGGTGATTTAATTTTAAGATGTTATTTGAGGAATGAAGATTACACAATTTTGCTTGTAGTTTATTCTAACACTTAATCACTCTTGTGGGTCTATAATTGCTAAAGCACATTACTTTTCTTTGACCACATGTTTTAAATATGAACATATGAAACAGTATGAATTTAACCATTCTCAATATAGCTATACAAAGTAGGAATCTACATCAAGTTTACTTTATAGTTAAATATACAAAGAAATAAGAAAATATAACATCAGTCTTTCTAGGGAGAGAGATTTGGCTTCAAACTTTAAAGTTCTTCCATATTTATCCTTTTTCTAATCAAGATCATTATTATAAAATTTAAAAAGCCATCACAGAGTATTTCAAATTGCTCACGAATCCTGTGAAACAGGTTTTAAAACTTCAATCTTTGATTTATCAGTTGAACAATGACACAGCAGGCCTAGCAGAAAACATGTTGCTAAAATTATGTCTTCAAGTTCAAGATGAGCTTTATTAAACTCAAGAGGTTTTAAAAAACAAGTTAAAATCAATTTCTATTAAGCTACACTTGAAAGAATTATTGAAAAGTTTCATTAGACTAAACATTATTTGTAAATGATGGAATGTTTTACAATAGTTTCCATTTTCTCTAACAGAAGTTGGTTGCCAACTTATACTCTGTGGCTGACTAGCAATCCTTAAAAATAGTTTTAAGACATGGCATTTTCCCATACAATGAAATGAGAGCTTGCCATTTAAGGCACAGAGACAGTACCCCCAACAATTGCTCAAAATTCACTAAAACACATAGAGATAAACATAAACATAAACTAGCACTATTTTAAGACATTAAGAATAAGAGTTGTTTAATGCAACTCATGGCTGTTTCTAATGCCAGCAGTTCCTAAGACACACACACAAATACACACACCTCTCCTCCTGATAAGCCATGTGTCTCAACTCCAGTTTCAGCTTGTGACCCTCCCCTAGGACCCAAGGCAAGGCCTGGAGCCCTTACAAAATGCATGCTTATTACAGGCTGTACTTTAGGGCATTACTAGGGACAACTGAAAATAAATCATCCCTTTTTAAAATAACTAGTTCTATAGCAAAGCATAATCTCCAAGAACACCAAAACCATCTCTGTCTCATACCATCCTTATGTTCCCCGAATTCAAAATCGTGCTTTGAGATTCATTTGTGTAAATATACAAATGAAAGAATACAAGAAAATCAATTCCCATTCTTGATTTCATGAAAATACACCATGACATAAAAAAACTTACAGATTTAACATTTCAAAATTAGTTTAAAACAAAATATCTCAACCAGTCACACAGAGTTAATGGTGTTCAAACACTTCCTAAGCACCTGGCTAATGTGTCCTGGGTAGCACATATATATATGTGTGTGTGTGTGTGTGTGTGTGTGTGTGTGTGTGTGTGTGTGTGT